GGGCTTTGGTAAAAAAAATTATTCAAGCCATCAAAACTATATATCATATACAAACTGCAAAGGTTATGATAAATAGAGTTAACAGACTTTATAGATATAAGAAAAGGGACCAGACAAGGCTGCCCACTGTCTCCTCTGTTGTTTGTGTTAACAGTGGAAGTGCTGAATAGGAACATCAGAGAGAAAAAAGAAATGAAAGGAATGAAAATTAAAAAAGAAGAGTATAAATTACAAGCTTTTGCAGATGACCTGGTATTTATATTAGAGGATCCATTGGAGTTTGCACCTAAACTGATAGAAAAGATAGAAGAGTATGGGAAAGTAGCAGGTTTGAAAATAAATAAAGATAAAACAAAGATTTTAGCAAAGAACATGTTAGTAAGATGAAAGAAAGAATTGGAGGAAGTTTTGGGGATCCAGGTCACAAACAAGGTTAAGTATTTAGTGATACATATAACACCAAGATGTAGCACACTTAAGGAGGACAATTATTTCAAACTTAAACAACAGATTGCGACAGATTTGATAAAATGGGAAAATTTACAATGATCACTGATTGGGAGAATATCTAAGATGAAGGTATTGCCTAGAATCTTATACTTATTCCAGACAATTCCAATCAGATTAGGGAAAGAATTTTTTGAAGATTTAAACAAAATATTGCTAAAATACATTTGGCAGGGGAAGAAAGCGAGAATAAAACTTAAATTGTTACAAGATGCAAGAATAAGAGGAGGATTTGCTTTGCCCAGTTGGGAATTATACTACCAAGCGACAAGTCTGATGTGGGTAAAGGAGTGGATAACATTAAGGAATACTAGACTTTTGAATTTAGAAGGACATGACTTGCTGTTAGGGTGGCATGCCTTCCTCTGGTATAAGGGAACTAAAACGCAGGGGTATTTTAGAAGACATATTCGAGAAGCATTGTTTCTAAACTGGGAGTAGATAAAAAAGCAATATTATTTAAAAATTCGACTATGGTTATCTACTATTGAAGCTTTTTCCTATCCAATAACATGTAAAAAGGAACAAACAGTTAGATATGGTGAGATATTGAATGAAAAGGCTGAACTTAAATCTATGCAAGCGTTGGAAGAACAAGGTGTAAAAATGAATTGGTTTTTATATTTGCAAATACAATCTAGATTTGATAAAGATGTTAAAACAGAAGGTATCTATGACAATGTCCACTGCGTATAAAGAAAATTTGTATAAGATGTTTTACAGGTGTCACTTACCCCCGATGAGAATTGCCAGGATGTTCAAGGATAAATCGGATAAATGTTGGAAATGTCATCAGATACCTGGTTCATATTACCACATGTGGTGGACATGCTCGGATGCAAAAAGATATTGGACTATAATCCACACATGGTTGGAAAAAATGACAAAACAACACATAGACTTTAAACCTGAGATATTTTTATTGGGAATTATATCGGAAATATATTGTAAAGAATTGAAATATTTGATTGTAAATGTTTTAACAGCGGCTAGAATTGTATTTGCTAAGAACTGGAAAAATGAAAAAATATCTATGCAGGAGGAAATTATTAAGAAAATCATGGACTGTGCCGAAATAAGTAAATTGACATTTGAAATTAGAGAACAAGAGGCTAAACAATTTTATATGGTATGGGATTTATTTTATCAATGGTTAGATAAAAAGACATGGTAAAGAAATAGACTAGTAAGCCTTACAATAAAAGTTAATAGATTGATATAGAATACAATATAAAATATATAACCATTGGATGAATGTATAAGATTAAATCATAATGAAAATTAGAATATCTCGTATAAAATGATGGAAAAATAGTCAAATGAATGTTTAATAATTGATATTATATAAGCACAAGCTAGATCGATAAGGTGAGAATTTATATAACTTGTGAGTAATGGTAAAAAAAGGATAGCACAAAAGATTGTAACCAACTGACACACTGTATGTATATAATTGAAAGATGGTTTTATGTTTTTATGTTTTGTTCGTATGTTTGTTGTAAAAAATAAATACTTTGTTTAAAAAAAAAAAAAGAGTTGTAGAGCTATTCTAAAACAAAACTGAGTGCCTAAAGCATTACTGGAAATCTTTTGGTGAAAAGAATTCAACTAGCTACAGGTAATACAATACAATATAATTTATATCTATCATATTGTAATAGTAATTGGGTGTGGCAGAATAGATTCACATAATATGTTGGAAAATCTTGCTCCAAGCATTTGAGAAATTATGGTCTGTTGAAAGTAAGTAATCAGACTAAGTTCTGAAACCAGTCAGCAAATATTAAAATAGCATCTTGGAAAGAGACATTGGAACTTTCCATCTTTTGTTATTCATAGTTGGGGGTTTTCAAAATGCATAAATCACATTTCATAACAATTGGTGAATTCAAGTTGAAACACTTAGAAAGCTTCAAAGGCTATGTACAGACAAAAGCTATTTTACTATCCATAGAGGAAAGTGTGATTATGTAGACTAATTTTTAAAATCCTTGCTAAATGAAAGCCTCATTGTGTGGCCATAGTCAGGGGGAAATTCTGAATGACTAATCTGCATTGCTTGGGAAAGTTTATAAGCATGAACCAGTGAAACAATATACTTGAGAAGATAAGCTACCATTTGTTAAAATGAGGCACAATTCTCAATTATAACCCTCAACATCTTTTATATTTGGGCAATTGCTAAGCCTTTTAATTAGTTAAATCTGCTCCTGTAATTAAAAGATATCTGCACACTCCACTCTGCTGTGAAGATTTCAAAGATTTACGTGATTAACTTGGCAAAAGCCATGGGTGGCTAATTGGATAAGCTTTAATCTTCACACTGCCAAAACGATACAGAGGAAGATCAGGTGGAAGCTGGACTCTGTTGGGTATGAAGGGGTTTACTCAACTTCTCAAAAAGACTTTTTTTGATGTTAGCAAACAAAGCAAGAACAACGGCTACATTAAAATTATGCCATTACATCTTTCTTTTTGACATTGGTATTTTAAAACAGGAAAAAGGTAGTGGAGTCTGAGCCACAAATTATGGGAACTAAAGATTTGCTTATAAATATCTTGGACATTTTTGCAGGGATTATTGCAGGGAGGATATGTTTTTTGGAGAATTAAGCATGTTTATGAGGCACATTGACAACTATGGATCACTATCAGTAATCTCCCAGATAGACAAACCATCCATAGATAAATATTGGGAATGCTAGGAAACAACATTTTATCATGCAAGGGGGACATGCTAGAAAAACTTCAAAAGTATTCAATAATTCAGTACAGAAAATTTTCAAATTTAAATTTGAAATGAAGCTACCATTTATACTAGGTATAAACCTAAAATATTTGAATAAGAAATATAATAGTTTTCTAAAAATAAATTTTCCCAACTTTGGAAGAAAGATGCAATTCTGATCATATCTAATTGGGATTTTAAGCTTGAAGAATATGTAGCAATGGAAAAATTAACTGTAAATATTTATAACAAAAGTTTAACCAAATCCAAGCAAGAATGGTCCCCATATATACAATATTTTATGTAGCTTGTCAAATATAGACAACTACCACTTGATTTCTAAGAGGGTCTAAATTCTTGAAAACATTGCAAATTGGTTAAGGAACAAAGGAGAAGTCAGAAACCAAATAGCTTTTTAATTTTTTAATTTTTTTTTCCTAGTATGCATACAGTGGAAAAGTACTACAGTAAATCTCATGTTACTATGGCAATTGTGACCAGAATTTTGTTGCTAAGTGATGTGGTTGTAAAGTTGACATCAAGTGACAGCATTGCTTAATTACATAAATTCTGGCCCCCATGGTTATCATTAAGTGAGAATTGCAGTCATGAACTGAGTATCTCCTTACAACTTCCTGACGGCTTTGAACAAATTCTTTAGGAAAGCTGGCAGGGATTTGCCAATCTCAGGGAGCTTGCAAGCAGGCTGGAAGGCAGTTAAATGGCTGTTGGGAGGGCACACAAATAGCCTGTATGGTACAAGGGCTGCAGAGTTTGGGGTGGCTGCTGCCAGGTGGGGGAGTGTGAATGACAGTGGGTGAGTGGTTGGCACAAGTGTAATCCAGCTGGGATTGCGCAAGGATTTATGGGTGTTTATTGAGGTGTGGCACAAGTATGTCAGGTCCAGGGGTGATTGCTGCTGGGTAGGGCAGGTGTGCAGGTGGCTTCAGGGGGTAGCAGAGGGGTAGGCTCTTTTCAAAGATTTTCAAAGATAGAATCAAGAAAGAAAATACCAGTACTGTATGAGATATAGAGGTGTATGAGCTGTAACTGCAGCTTCATTTTAGGCAATGAAGCTACCTCATGCTAACAGGTAATAAAACTGTCTGTGTTTTTCAAGCCGATAGAAATTTTGAAATATTCTCACTATCATGGCATCAGAAAGGAAGCTTCAGGCATCCTATGCATGTTTATTTGGCGGTAAAGGTATAAAGCTAATGGATATTATGCTTATTTGAGCATATGCATTGCATGTTTTCCATTTGATTTTAAGAGTATATAGGAATTTAGAATATTATTATTGAAAATGAAATTTTTGCTTTCCTTTTCCATTGCTTCATGCTGTCTTTGGATAGTGAGATTTGTAATGAGAATTTTTGTTAAGTCGAGAGAAAAAATTGACAAAGATTCTTGCAATTAAATTAGTTTGTTTTCCATGTTTCTTCTTGTTGTTGCAATCCCTAACACTTTAAAGGAGACATGGAAAAGAGGGCCCCAAAGTGTTTTAAATATTTTAAAAAAATCAGACCTTTTACAGATGCTCTTTCTGAATTAAATACTAAATTGCTTTTACCTTTGGGGTCACTTGATACCTGATTTTTGTCAATGTTTTTACATGTGAGTGATATATTGCATAATTGGACCCCCCAAATAAATGTCCACTGTATACCTATGTTCTTTGCTTTAGTCTAACCATGCTGCCAGCAAAATCAGAATCCTGCCAGTGACAGGAGTATTAATTTGTTTTTAAATCACCCATTTTTAGGTCTAGCCTAATGGCAGGCGGGGTCAGAAGACAAATAATAAATCCATGGCTTGTAGAGGAGCCCGAGGAAACGAGAGGTCTTGACTTCCATGATATCCGACAGCAACAACAGAGAATTATAGAAGGTAAATCCTTCCTTCCTTGTTTTGTCCTGTCAACTTTTGTATTAGTTTTCTAGCTGATCACAGCCTAGATTCAAAAACCTTCCATTTTGTACTTTTGGGAAGGGGGTGGCTTTAAATCGTTTTTAAAATAGGTATAACATTTTTTTTAGTATTTGCTTTGTCAAGAGTTATCTAAAATGTTGGCACTTGATTTTTTGTTCTGGCAGTCAACTTAACAGCTTATATTTATTTGTTCTAGTATATTAAGTATATTGAGATTTGACTTTTCAGGTTATTATTCAGCCATTAGTAGGTTTTCTTTCATTTAAACCTAGTTTTGGGCATTTCATCAGCAATCTTTATGTATAAGTCTACGATTTATTAACTTGAATTTTATATTCATTGAGCTTTTTTGCTTTCTTGTATAGAACAAGATTCCGGTCTGGATGCACTCTCTTCAATTTTATCTCGCCAAAAACAAATGGGACAGGAAATTGGAAATGAATTAGAGGAACAGAATGGTAAGTACATTAGGCAAAAGAATTTTTAGAATTTGATGTATCTGTTAAATTCACTGTTATGTTTATTTTATTTATCCAGCCTTCATTGTTTTTATAAATAACTCCTATTGCCCTGAACATACCTACCACTCCTTCCTCTTCCTAATTTTCCCTTGTGAAATGTGTTGGACTGAGAAGGCTGGTTCAGAGTTACCCAACTGGCTTTCATGACTAAGTAGGTATTAGGCTCAGTTTCCTGCTTTCTAGCTTGGTGCCTTAAGCACTAGACCAACTCTACCTCTCTTAAACATCGTCTGTCTTAAATACGCAACCATATTTTTCAGACCATAATTTGGGAAATATCATGTCAGAACTACAAGGAAATACAGTTTACAAAACAAAAGAAAAACAGGCTCTTTAAAATGTTTGTTTTGTATCTCTCTCTCATTCACATCCAACAGTTATAACAGTCGAAGCTTACAGCAGTTAAAATGCAAATTATACAATACAAAAATAAAAAACAATATATTTAAAAGCAGTGGTAAAATTTAAAATCAGTGAAATTAAACCAGTTCAGATAACAAAAAAATGTTGGAACAGCAGTGAGGATTATTATTTTTATTTAAAAAACAAAGTTTTACTGAATACTGTGAGAGCCAAGTACATCTTCTTGGAGAATGGAGTCCAAGGTCTTGGAGCCACACAGAAGAAGATTCTTTCCTATGTTCCACATAAATGAACTTTTGGTAATGGTGGGAGGGGGATCTTCAATACAAGCATAATGACCTCACCCCTTTCCTAAGAGGTCTGTAGGGGGCGTGCATAAGCGCACCAACGTGCCTACCGTCCCTGTCCTATTGTTTCTCTTATTCTATTATTTTTCTTATATGTACCCATTTCATATATTCACAACTATGTATACACTTGTACTTATTATCTTGTAAACAATTGACAAATCAAATAAATAAAAATAAAATAAATAAAAATAATCACAAAAAGGTAGTCCTACATATGGTATAAAGTGGCCTCATGCCATGAAAGGCTTATAAAGTTCAACCGGTATCATTTAGTTGATGCCTAATAAACGCCTGGAAACTAGTAAAAATCTTTCCCATAGAGGTATCTTACAGTCTCTGTAATTCTACCAGTTAGCTGCCAAACACCTACGTTTTGTATTAATTGGCAATTTCTGAACCCTTCCAGGAACAGCCTCACAGAAAGAACAATAGTCTTATGCAACAGGCACAGCGGAATATAACCAAGACATGGATAATTGCCACTTAAGAATAGTTGCGTGTGTGCTTCTTGTGTCAGCTAGCCATCTCTCGACAGGCTTCACTTCAGTTCTCAAGTGCAGCTTTTTCCTTACCTGAAATATTTCTATTTCCCAGGATTTAATTTCAACTTGTTCTCTTTCATTTTGTTTATTACTGAGTTTAGGGTTGCCAATTGTTTTCTTGGGGTTAGATGGTGGGAAGGAGTAAAGCAGAATATCACCAGCATAAAGATAGTAACCCATTCCAAAACTCTGAATAGCTCACTCAGTAGTTTCATCTATATCTTAAAACCCAGAAGACAAAAATGGAAACCCATGGATGTGATGGATCCGCAGCCAATGTGCTGAACTGCACAGCACCACAGCACCACCTTCTGGATATGCTCCATCAGAAAAGATCAGAACCACTGCAAAAAAGCACCCCTAAGTCTTGACTCAGCCAGATAGATCAGAATTATGCCATATAGAAATACTACATATGTATTTCATATGGCATAATAGAATACAGCATTAGTGCATAAAAATTCACAAAACAGCATATAAAATGTATATCAAAATATAAAACAACAGAGCAGTGAACTTTTTTAAAAACACACAGTGTGATTGATCAATACAGTTATGAATAGAATTAAAATATTAAATTAGCAGATACTGGAGTGACTAAACCTATGCCCAAATATCTAGGTTGTTTAGTCATTGGACAGCAGTTCTCTTGAGATTACATATTTCATGCAGGGATCCAGGGAAACTTCTGAGGGTATCCACTGCTTTTATGTGGCCATTGTTTAACCCTACAGGGCTGGAGTATTTGGCCACCAAATATATCAAAGCAAGAGCTGATATCCTAAGTATTGTAGCCCTTGCTGTAGAATATTGGCCCTGATTTTGATTTTATCAATGGTTTTTCTTAAGTCTTCCCTGTAGGTTAAGGACCAATCAAGGGTCATTCCTAAATGCTTTGGATTATAATTAAATTTTAACAATTAGTTCCTGGATTCCACTTGCAGTGTATAGTTAGCTTTTATATTGTTCAAATGAAAACGTGATCTCTTTTTTGTTGATATTAGATTTTAGCCTTCAGGTTTAAAAAAAAACCCATATCCATTTCCTTTAAATAATTTTTGAGAGCTTTTTCAGAGGTATTGAAATCTTCAGATTTGTTTTTATCAGTCTGATGTCATCAGTGTATATAAACTTTCTTTCAGCAGTGCCTGGTAAATCTGATGGATAAATATTAAAATTAGTGGTGTCAGCACAGAACCTTGTGGCAGGCTGTCATTTAACCTATACTTCTGATTAGTTTGGACATCTAAATGTACTTCAATGTATCTGTTTAAAAGCATGTTGTTGAATAGAGTTGCTTTTTTCTTCCAAGATATGATATGTAAAAAAATTAAAATCATCCCTTCTCTCCAGACTCTATCATAGAGCAATGATAGGTCAATGCACATGGTGATATATTTTTTTTCTTTGTTAAAATCCATTTTCTATATGAGAGGTTATCGATAAAACCTGATCTCAACAGCTTCTTTTTTTGGTGAAAAATGTTGAGTTTATTCAAAGAAGGTTAAAATACAAAATGCCGAAATATTGAAAAAAGGACATTTAAAAAAAAATCCAACAAAAAAATAAAAATAAAAAGTGTCTTAAAAAGAAAAAAAAAAGACTTAACACATACACAATATCCTGCCTAGCTGAATGCTGTTTGATATCATACAGCAATGTTAGTTTCCTATTCCTTGAAAAACTGGCCAAAAGAATTTTACTATTGAACTACTAAATCTACTTACAAATTGTTAGCTTATTTATAAACTATATTAATAACAAAATAATTAACAGAAAAAGCATTAATAATGAATATATTATATAAAAGTATAAAATTAGTAAAAATTGTGAGCAATAATAAGAGAGAGACAAAATTGAAATTTCAAAACCCTCTGTTAACAAACTATTGTGTTCAACTCACAGAAAATTTACCACAGCTTCAATCAGAAATCACCGCAGATATTAACTTTAATTAATCCTGGATCAAATATCTGTTTTTGTTTCTTTATACCATCTCTTATCTGATTGATTAAAAACAATAAGTCTCCAAAATCTCCAAAACAAATCTACTTCCTCAAAAAACCCAGATAAAATTATTCCTCAATAATTTTAAAATTATTCCTTTGGGAAGCAAAGTAAAATACATGGTAAAATCCCATTACCAAAGTATACTTAAACTTGTGTTAAGGTTAGGTCTCTTTGTAGTCTGGGTCGAACTGATCTCGGGTATAGGCTCTTAGATGTGCTCTTAGATAAGGGATGGTGACAGCTTTTCCTCTGATCTTCTTTCTGGACCACAGTAAAATACATGGGAAAGTCCCACTGCCAATGAAATGAAACTTGGTTCCGGTTCAGTCTCTTTGAAGTCAGGGCCAGAAACTGATGGTAGGGATAAATTCTTAGAGGTTCACTAATATAAGTGACAGTTTTCATTCAGACTTCTCTGTGGACCACAGTAAAATACATGGGAAAATCCCATTGCCAATGATACTGAAACTAACAGTATTGTTAAGAGGCAGGGCAGAGAATTCCTCATGCCCATTCATAAAACTACTGCAAAAGTTAGAGCAGTCACCATTCGAAGATTAACGTTGAACAATGAGTTTTCCATCATCAACTCCATCTGAACTGAGTAAGAATATGCTTGAGTGTAGTCTGATGTAATCTGGATGCATTTTTGTTACAAGAGTTCTGTTTGCCTACTGTATTTGAAAAGTAATCTGGAGACCATCAAGGAAAGAGCTAGAAATTGTTGCAACATGAAAACAGTATCCAAAGCTTTTCCTGATGATTGCCTTTTCATTTCCAAACATTGTAAATATTCCAAAGTAAATATTTACAGCAGTGATGCATTATAATATATCTGGTATCTTTATAGAAAGATACGTCTCATTTTTAGTATATTTTATTTATTAAGTATGGGTAATGCTGATCTGAGTACCGTATAACCTTAGGGAATAATTTGCATTTTAAATTTTTTTCCTTGCAAACCACTAGATGGTAGCAGAAGACAACAAAGCCTTTCCTTAGACTATCTCACCAGACTTCTGGCTCAGCTGCCTAAGTTTCTGCAATGGAGGAATATTTTACTTTTGCTTCTCTTTCTCTTACAGAGCAAAAAAAAAAAAAACAACAACAACCACGCACCCACAAAGAAAATAAAAGAAAAAAGGTTTCTTCTATCTTTCAGCTTCTTTCTCTTCCCTTCCCTTTCTCTAGTTTGCCTGGATAAAAATTTAATCCCTTCCCAGTACATTTATTCACTCACTATATGATACGTATTTTAGCTTTCAGGATTTTCATACTCTGGTCTGCAAATATGTACAAGTTTTTCTTGTTAGTTTCAATGATTTCCTACATGATTGCTAACCGCTGCTACCTTGTATAAGACTAGAGAAGGTTTGTATCCTACTAAGAAGCAACTTGTTTCTTAGCTGCCATTCCTGCAGGCTTAAGTTTCACAGCTTAGGAGAAGAAGGATGTTTGTGGTCCTGTAGAATATCTCACACGAGGCTAGTAAATACGGTAGGATCTGCAGGACTTACTTACGGAGTCAAGTATCCTCCATATTTAAAGTAAAAACAAAAATTCAGAAATATGATAGTCCTTCATTTTCAGGGAGCGGGTTGACAATTTATGAATTCTCACTCTTTAAGAATAGACCTAGAATGTGTGTGTGTGTGTGTGTGTGTGTGTAAAA